CCCCCCCTCCAAATTCCTTCTCCCAACCTCATACCTTGAAAAGACAAGGGAACTAGTTTTTAAGAGCTGTTTACTGTCACCGCCCCTCTCCCCTTTTTTTCTCTTCTTCCTAAATCTATGTTTGGTTTCAGCCGATAGTGTTTTACACAGCCATACATTAAGTGAACTTGTTGAGCAGCTACTAAATAGTGCCAAAGATTGGAGGCTACACTGCAATATGGTTCATCCGTCTATTTGATATACATGAGCTTTAAAAGGAGAATTTTACAAAAAACTTTTTTAAAATGTCGGAGGCAACATCTAAATTGTTGCACACGAGACACACTTTTAGGGAATGACGTACATTTTGAAGGCAAAGACCTGAGCCTACACTCTTCGCTGTGGGCCTAGGCAAAGACAGATAACCAAAATCTTTCTAAAAATACCTATTACTTGAGAAACGAAATAAAACGTTTAAGCAGCAATGATGGCGACGATTGGGCGTGGATTGTTGAGCACTTTTATCTGTAAAGAAAGTGAACCCTCTCGGTTGGTGGTTGGCGAGTGCTCTGATGTGGTTTACTGCTTCTTTCCTATAAAAAGTATATCTTCACTTATTCTCCTTCTTCTTTGATTTGTATGACTGTTCCTCTCTTGTAACACATTTAATCTTCGGCACTTACATGACCTAATTGTGTTGCAAGTGCCGTAAAACTCATACTAAAACTAAACGAGCCACATTATTCTTTTATTTGCAAGTACAAACGGAGATGTCTTTACCCCGCCAGTCTGCGCAATAATCATGTTCCTCTTGTAGATGTCCACAGCCTGGCTTCCCGCCAATTCATCATCTTGGATTCTGAGAATACATTGCTACGATTATAACAGTACTACAAACAAGACTGATGCAACACATGCACATGTGTTTTAGACTTGTACAAACACCAAAATGCCAGCGTGGAGAGACGGGCCAAACTATGGAAAACATCCTTCAGCACTGCAAGTCACACAGGCCCCCAGGACAGGAAACATGGCCAGCCCCGTTGACACTACAAGAGAAACTGTACGGGCCGACAGATGAACTGAACAGGACGATCTAATATGATAGATACATAATGTACCGAACTTACGATAAGTATGTTGCGATCGAGAAGAAAAAGAAGATTATTACAGTCAAACCTACTCTAACGGCCACCTGGGTCAAGACAATAACCTTTGCAAACAGCCACATACCACCCCCTGCTTTGTTTAAATAGACTATATCATACTGAAATGTTGTCCAATATGTCCACCTGTCTAAGACAACCATTTTTCTGCTCGACTGTGGGTGGCCGTTTTGGACAATTACGACTGTATAATGATACTGCTGTAAGGTTTTTAGGAGAAGTTTCACGGCGCTCGCAACTGTATAAGGTCATATGAGCGCCAGAAGATTAGAGGTGTTACAAGAGAGTAACAAACATAAAAAAAAGAAGAAGGGGAGATAAGGACGATAGATGTTTGACAGGAAAGAAGAAGCAAACCACACCAGAGCACCCGCCAACCACCCACATACTGCTGTAAGTACAACATAACTTCCATGAACTTTGTAGAGATTTTGTTGAAGGCGAAAGAAGAAATAGAAGAAAAAGACCCAATATCAACTGTACATAAGGGCCTACTTAAAATCTTATGAGATCATAACGTTTTAATTAGCCACTTGTTTGACAGGAGAACACGTCCTTTTGGTTAAGAGATGAGGAAAACAGGATAATAAAAATTCACATTAATTTCAATGTAGCGAGGAAAAAAGGTATACATTCGTGTGTGTGTGTATGTGTGTGTGTGTGTGTGTGTGTGTGTGTGTGTGTGTGTGTGTGTGTGTGTGTGTGTGTATTTGTATGAAATACCAGTGAGTTCATGTTACTGTGTATGTGTATTTGTTTGTGTAGGTGTATGCATG